GAATCCAAAATTTTAATTTTTAATATTTGTAAGAACTTTCATATACTTCAATCGTTAAACATCACATCATTACAAACACGTTTGAATAAATAATAGCACAGCAAATTTACATTGTTCATTTTTTATTAATTAAGACTAGTAGATAAGCATATCCTATTTTCGACAAAGTATAATATAAGTACATTAAAAAAAAATCATTATAACGATTAAAATAAAGGTTTCTTGACCCCCATTAAAATTACGTTAATTTGTTTTTAATAGCATTCGAGTAGTTAATGTTTATGGTAAACTCATTTTTGATAATTTAGTTGATCAAACCGGAACTATTCAGTTAAAGGTTATTTCAAAATAAAGCTTTTGCGGAATAGATGTTGGAGATGTTTGGAGTAAAAGGTATTATCTGTAAAACAGCTAAGGAAGAAATAAGTTTGGAAGTAAAAGTGTTTACATTATTAAGCAAATGGGAGGTTTGCTATTAAAATCGAGTTACGAACATAGTAAATCATATGATCCGTAACGTGATTAGCTTACACTAAACCGCTTCTTATTACGAACTGAGTGATGTGGAAGAAATTTCGCATACGCTGTATAGACTTTATTATTAATAGTGAAAAATGAGAAATTTTTTTTATTCGGGCGGGCATAAGTTAATCGGCAGTTTTAGACCATAGAGAATTTGAGACCCCCATTCTAGTTTCGGCAGCTTCCGGAGCCCGCACCGCCATCAGCATTTCTGATCATGGTGATCTTTACTATTTTGAGAATCGCACTAACACGAAAAAGAGAAATAAGTAGGGGGCGAAGCAAAGGAGGCTTAGTAATGTTTGTTTCTTTAAAAAAATACCCACGGCTAATGTTTTTTTTTTTAAAAAAAAGTTGCAACTTTTGCAAATATTTATTTAACTTCCATTTATATTTCTTTGAAAAACGAAAGAGAAATAAAACATATTTTTTTTAAAGTCAAATAATATTTATTATATATATATCCCTTATCAATACCAAAAAGAAAACCTTTTATTGTTAAATAAACATATATTTTATTAGATTTTACAAATATATAAACCACGAAATTTTACATTCACTTTTACTTGCATTTTATATTATTTTTAAAAAATAAATGTCTCAAACTTTATAAACTTCTGCTATTATTATTAATCAAAAAAATATTTTTGAACAAAAATTATTTTTAAGTCTGATTTCAATAAAATAGTTTAACAATATACTGATTCTCTTAATGCAAGATTTAAAAATTTTGATAGTTTATATGATTACACAAAACAAATGTTTTTCATATAAATATTTCTTATCCTTGAATGCAACAACATTTTATAACTTCTAAAAACTCTCTATCGTTAGCTTTACAACGATTTATTCATTAAAATCTCCATCATTATTATATTTTCATCGAATAATTCATTAAATAAAACATGGAAGTCAAATGAATTTAAAAAACTTTACATCAATCAATCACAATATTATATAATAATTCTAAATAACTTATATTAATATTATAATGTCATTTTATTCCGTAAAAAGTAAAAAAAAAACTGTAAACATTATTGCATAACCTTCTAAATTACTATTTTATTATAGTAATAAATTTACAAGACATAACATGTAATATGAATATTTATTCATTTTTTAATTTTATTTAAAAACTAGGTACAGAGAATTACAAAATTTTATATATATAAATCTAGTAAAATTCATTTTAAGTAAAATTTTATTATATCAAAAAAAAATTCGTTATAGAGAAAATTCGTTATAAAAAGAGTCATTTTATATATAAATGTTTCTGACTTTAATTCATTAAATGTAGTACAAATTTTTAATTACTAAATTCAGTATAGTAAGGGTTTTTTTATATTTAAAAATCTGTCTGATACTGAAAATCCATTGTATTATAAAATTTGTTATATCAAAATTTGTTGTAAAAAGAATTGACTATAATTACATAATTTTAATAAATAAAATTTAAATTTATTTTTCTTTTATAACTGTTTCTCATTATATATATATAGCCTTTTTCAATTAATATTTTGTAAATATTGAGAAAACTTAGTATTTTTTCTCTCTTTATATAAAATTATGAAAAACATTTAAGTTTAAGTAATAAGAAAAATTAAATATTGAAGAAACTATATAAAATAATGTTATGCTCAGATATTAATTAATTTTCATAAAATTTAACTTTAAAAAGTATCTAAGTATTATTTATAACTAGATTAACTTGAATAGTGAATAGTATTTAAGTATTAATCATAGTGAGTATTATTTTTAAAAGATATTATATGTAATAATATATAGAGATACTATTAAAGATATTATAATAATTTTTAAAAATAAAAAATATCATTATTAAAAACCTTTTATGAAAGACTAGCTAAAATGATTAAATATTTACTAAAAGTAAAAATAGTATTACAATTAGTTACAATTATATATATTTATTTATCATTAATTATAACTTAATTTTTATTAATATCGCAATTAGTTGTAACACTATAATGCTTATTTATTATGAGTTATAATGTCATTTTTAACTAAAAGTAATTTTTTTAACAATTTTTTTTCTTTTTTAAAATAAATGATTAATTATTTTGAAATTAATAAAGATGGATATAATGAAAAACCTGACAATTAACAGTAAGATAAAAAAGGATTCTTTATTTATTATTAGATGTTAAAATATTATTATTGATATTATAAAGATAAAATAGCAGATTATATTGAAAAATTGCTTATAAGTATAATATATTAACTATTAAGAATTTAATAATGATTATTATTATTATATTATTAGATCAATTAGAATTAGTTTAAATAATTTATTTATTATAATAAAATCAAAGTTTCTTACATATTTAAAATTTTAAAATGTAAGTAAATTTATTAATTTCAATTATATATATATATATATTTATTTATTTTTTTTTATAATATAATATTTATAGGAAATATTTTTATAAAAAATTAACATATAGTAACTTCTATAATTATTGTATTATTTTATTTAAAATTTTTAAATTTAGTATTTTAAATTTAATGATAATATAATATATAGAATTTTATTAATATAAAGCTTAAAATTTTCTTTATTTAAATTACTTTGAACTTTATAAATAACTTTTAGAAAATAATCTTTAATGAATAAAAATTTTATAATATAATATTTTTAACATATATTATAAAAAAGTTAATTAAGAAATTTTTGTTTTATTATTAACTAAATATATTTAATTTTTTTAATATAACTATTATAGAATCCTAAACATCTTACATTTAATTCATAAATAACTTATAGTAAAATATGTTTTTACAATAACTTGATTAATATTAATGTTAAAATATAATTTTATTATTATTAGATTTCTTTCATTGAAACAATTTTATTGAATTTAAAATCATCAAAATCCAATCATTGGTTAACTTAAAATTGAGTATGTATGATAATGAATTTTAAAAATCTTCTATAATATACAATTCTGATCAGAATTTATATATAAACTTTATGCAAACTCTAATCTGTATTATATAAGAGATTTTTGAGATCTTACCATTATTATTTTACATACTTTAAGAATATTTTAATACTTTATGATATCATATCAATTAGCTTTAAATAAGAGGTAACAACAATTTTATCTTATATCTTATTCAATAAATCATTACTAGTAATATTATCAGAAAGTTATCACAAATAACAATTCATCTCATTTTACAAATATTCAATAGGGTTTAAGTCTGATGATTATATTAACCAATTCAAAATTTTAATATTATTATTATCAAAATATTTATATGTTTTATTTGCCATATGTTTTGAATTATTATCCTATTGAAAAATGATACCATTTATACTTAAATTATATTTATTAAGGATTTTTATGAATTCATCTTTTAAAATTTTATAATATAGCTCTCCATTCATTCACCTATCAATTTTACAATATTTTCTAATACTAAATATACTTATATAATCCTATACTATAATAGAATCTCTACTAAATTTTACAGTTAGCTTAACATATTATGGTTTTAATGGTAACTTTAGATCCTTTCAAGATTACTTTCTTTTATCTAAGTCAAAAATCATAAATTTACTTTCATCTGACCATATCACTCTTTGCTAATCTTTTATAGTCAATTACGATATTTTTGAACAAACTTTTTGAGTATTTCTATGTCATTTTAAAAGTAATGGCTTTCTTTTTTTAATTTTACTATAATTCTTGTTTTCTTAATGAGCATCTAACTGTATTTGAAGAAACAATAATATTTTTATTGAAATTAACTTTTTCTAACTTGAACAGCATTTGAACATTCACCTGACTTGACAAGTATAGCAATATTTCTGTCATGATATTCTGTAAGTATCCTTAAGTGATCTAGTCTTGGAGTAATATTAAGACTACCAATTTTTTTCTTTTGGCTTTTTATCCTTAATACTGAAACATGTCTACGAGCAGCAATAGTACGACTTGAAAGTCCTTCTTGAAGAAGATCGAATATATGTTCTCTTTGATAAAGCTTACTCATATATATAAAATTTATCATATGTTTAACATTTATTTATTCGTGTTAAAATGCCAAAATTATTGTATCACGAAAAAAAATACATAACGTGATATTTTATTTTTGGATAAGCCAAAAAATTAAATGTTAACAAAAATTATATATGCTAAAAATGAAGTCGCGAACTTTTAAATTATCTTAATTTTTTATTTGTATAGTTATTCGAATATGAGTTATAACAATTTTAAAATTTTAAATGAAGTGGTACAGTACAATAATTATGGAAGTCACTGTATTACGAGATTTAATAGGAGAAACAAAGATAATGGCCAAAGCAAATTTGGTCAAAATATGTTGAAGAAATTGAAGAATTGATTTTACCTGAAAATAAAATTCAATTTATTGTCTTTCAGAAATGATATTCAACACTTTAATACATGTGATAGATTTTTTAAATTACTTAATTTAAAGTAAAAGATGGAAATATGTTAATATTCGGATTTGCTGCTAAAACTTTAATTGTTGCTTATGCTACTTTAGCTTTAGCTTTAAATCACACGGTTTTTGCGTTGCGTTAAAAATAAAAATAAAATTAGAAGAGGAAAAATTGCAAAGGTTTGTTGAATATTAATTTAAAATCTTTGTATTGAAAAAACATTTGGTTAAACGTGTAAAATTCATTCGTTTCTCATAGTTGATCCTTCAATGTACTGATATGCACGAAGTTGCAAGACATTTTGAAGAATTATCATGAAAAAGAATAATGATCCATTAAATCCAAATTTTACGAATATTAATATTGTCTGTGATCAGATTTATCCATCTATTTCGTATATAATTAATATTAAGCGAGAACGCTAACAAGAAAAAATCATAATACTTTTCTTTTTTCTTTTTTAAGATTTTACAATGGTGTAAAACAAATATTTCGAATAAACCTAATAACAAAAGATCGTTTAATAACATATCTATTTTAATGTTTATTGGTTATTTATATCTTTATATTTTAATAGATAATCTAACTTGGATATTTAGAGAGTCAAAGCTGTGTATTAATTAATTAGTTTAGAAGTTAATATTGCGAGACGTGTGTCATAAAAATAAAATACATAAAATCAGCTTTCCCAGTAAATATATATAATTAGAGCTGAATCAAGGTATATATCTAATATTATCGTCATTGTAAGAAGATAAGTTTTACTTCATAAAAAAAAAAATTTCCAAATTAGAAAATCGTTAACATGTGTCATATTTGCATCATCACCCGTTCAATCATAACGATAAAAAAGATATTAGAAATTTGTTCCGAAAGTATAACAAAAGCATTTTCTATGCTTGTAATGACATTTTAATTTTTTACCCTTGTCATTCTCCTCCCGTATAATCAACATGCATGGAGATAACGAGGACCTTTCGATACTGATAATATCCAGGACTAAATACAGTATGTGATATGAGTACATTTCCTCATTGGTTATTTACTTTGTGGAAGTCAATCTGAATGTCCACAAGGCCAATGTTTTAATGGACATTGTGTGAATTCCTTGAATGCATTTTATATTATCTCAGAAGTGATTTTGCTATTGATATCAAAATTTTATATGTACTGTATGTTAGGATATGTATGATTACTTTATTTGCATGTTAATTAATGTAATAAACCCTACATATTGTAAAATAGGATTATGAACAATTTATTCTAAGTGAAATACATGTAACTTTTGTCCTCAAAGAATGTATTTTAAAATTTTTTTCATTTATTAATTAATAGCATACGAGAAACGGAGATCCATTTTTGGGGGGTTTTCAAGATTTGAGGTGGTACAAAGATCGTGAACTTTTCTGGGTTGTTGTTTCGTCATACGCGCTTCCAGATTCGCCCATTTGACAAGTTTCATTTTATTTTTTATTTTCGCTCTAGGAATAATGCCAAATAAAAAGGAGTCTTGGATGTTTCCAACACTAACTGACTCGGACATAATATTTTTCTTTGAATCCCTTAAAGTAGGTATTTCAATAACTGACCATGACCTAAAGAGACCCATGTATGATCGTATACGTGAACTCTATACTAAAGTTTTAGAAGAGACTACTGGAGGAGTATTTGAACAATTTGACGTTATAGCATTTCAGTCCATGCAAGAAATTTTACAGGAAATAGATGCCACCGATGTAAATATTATATTCATTGCGTTTTGCTTTTTTTTTCTCCTTTGTTTTGTTAACAAAAAGAAAAAATGAATAATTAATGTTAATTCATTTAATTAAATTTCAAAGCATCAAGATATATACACAATGCAAATGAACGCAATTGCCTTTTATATAAAAATGTAAGTTGATATATTATGTACTTACTTTTTTTTTTGTTATTGAAAATAAATGTTAACCTTCTATATCGTTAAAGGAGAAGATTCATGCAAGTTGTGGGTATATCAGATTTCAACTTGGGAGATATCATAAAACCGGAACCACAGAGACTTCGTACAATTCTTAGTGGAATTATAAATTATATGAAATTCCGTGAGGATCAAATAAAAATTTTATCAAAATTGGATCAAGAAATCGTAAGTAACTTTTTTTTTTTTTTTAAAAAAAAAAAAGGCATCCTTTAAATAAGTTGTACCATTTGAGTACCTTTGAAATTAAAATTTTAATAATCTTGATTAAAGGAATCTATTGAAACGAAAAATGAAGAATTGGAAAGTCATTGTCTTAATCTTACTGCGAGACTTAATGCTTTGAAGTATGATGTTTTATAAGGTTTATTATATCTGATTTTATAATGACTTAAATAAACCAAATTATTCACATTAAGGTTGCAGCGTAAAGAACAAGAACCGGAAGTGAAAAAGTATAGGCAGATTAATGAAACCCTTATGAGCAGAATGCGTGAATTAAAAAAGAAACAGACAGGTATGCTGTCCGAGATAGAAAGTTTAAAAGCTTCCAGAGTCGAATGGACTGATAAAATCGTATGTGATCACATTTAGTACATTTTGTAATCCTTTGAACTCGAGATACAGAATTAAAGACATATACGCGTCGCACTCACTTTTAACAGAATAACTCTCAATTTCTACTGGTTACTGCTAAACAAAATCTCGAGAGTTTGAAAAGTCGCATAGTATTAAATCCGGAAAAATTGAAACAGGTTCGTTATTACAATTGAATAGAATCTTTTTTTATATATATATTAACCCATAAGATATATCTTTTTCAATAGACCGTTGAAGAAATGAATAATCATCTGTCAAAAGAAAGAGAAGATCTATCAGTGGCGGAAAAGTCTATTCGAGATATTAATGTAAAAATAGACATGCTGAAAGCTGTTGAGGAAGTAAGTATCGTTTGTTTGTTGCAAAGTAACTTTTCATATATATTTTAGCAGTAAATTTAATTAATTGTGAAATGATTTAGGAAATTAAAGTCTGCAACAAAATTCTGGACGAAGTCTTAAAACAAATGAATACTTTTGATAGGGCCAACAAAGAACTCAGAGATTTACAGGATGATGTTGAAACCAAACGACAGATTTTACGCGAAATTGAGAAGAAAGAACAGGTATAATTTGCACATGGAGTTTAAAAGAATTTATACAATATATTTTATAATAATAACTTTTTTAATCTTTCAAAGTTTCTGACTCGTCAAAGACAAAATTTGGAAGAAAGACTTAAACGTCAACGAGATAGACACAATCAAAGGGTAGAGGAGTCAGAAAATAAAATTGCGATACTGCAACAAGAGTACGAAAAGATTCAACAAGAAATGAACGAATATGAATTGAAATCAGCAGAGGAAAGGAAGTTGCATGATGAATTGCATGAAAAGGTATGCAAATTTTTTATTATCAGCTGTTATTTATATCGGACATGATATATCATTTAACTTTACATACTTATAGATTGTTGATAAGGTTCAAAGCTGGGAAAAGGAGAAAGCTGCTATAGAGTCTCAATATAAGGCACTTGTGGATAAAATAGATAGCTATGAGCAAGAACTTCTCTTTACCATAAAATGTCACAAAATTTAAATTCAATAAAATCGCTATTAATCAACAACGTGTACTATAATATTAATTTGTTGAATTTGTTTGTGATTGTAGTTGATTTTGACTTTGTTGTTGTGATTCATCATTCAGAAAGTCTAAAGAGAGATCAGCCCATTTTTTATTTCCTGGTTTGAGTTGTTCTGGCAATAAATTATTGACTATAAATTTTTAACATGAGTTGAGAAATGAGTTAGTTATTAGTTAGATTGTATTTCCCCAATTATTATACATACAGTCATCATTATCACTAGTTGAAGGAGGTTGATGCTTCAGAGGAACGGCAATTTCTGTTTAAGAAAAGAAAAATTGTTTAGTATTCAGATTTGAATAAAAAAAATCCATTTTTTGTTCTTTTACCATCGTCAGGTAATTTATAGTTCTCCCATTTGTCAAGAAAATCCAAATGTTTGGTATGTCTTAAATGTGCGTGATTAAAACGTCCGTCCTATTACGGAAAGTTCAGTTAGTATTTTAGTATTCAAAAGATTATAAATCGAGAAATAAAAAATATACCATTATTTCAAAGTGTAAAATTAATATTTATCGTGAGAAATTCAGATTATCAATTACACGTCAATCACGAACTTTTTTAAACTCGATCATTCCTTTTCGTGACCAAAAAAAAAAAAAAAATATGAGATTGAAACTTCGAAATAAAGATAATGTTATAATTATCGCAACTTTGAATGAAAATTCTTTGTTCAAAGAATTAACTGAAACAATAAGTAACCTAACAGGAATCCCACCTTTACATCAAGAATGTAAGAACGTATGAAAAATAAATAATTTTTTTTTTATTTATTAATTTATCCTTATTGTTTTAAAAAAAAGTAAAAGTAGGATATCCGCCAAAAGTATGTAAAGCTAACGATAACGATACTATAGCTTCAACCGGAATACAGAATGGGGATACCATTATCCTTACTGAATTGTCTCTGGCAGAAGTATTAAATATTGAACAAAGTACTCCAACAGTATCAGCGACTGTTCCGTCTACTAATATACCCACACCTACGTCAAGTTCAAATGATATTATATCAGTTCCTACGGAAAATGGTTTCGTTGTTTTAAGGGTACTGAATTACAATTAGCTCTTTTAATTTTGTAATGGGGAGTCTATATAATTATATTAAAGAAATGACGTTATTTTTTTAGGAAATGGCTGACGATAATTCGTGTCTGTTTCGTGCAATTGGTTTGTATATTATAATTATTGTTTAAAAAAAAAAATGATGGATTCAAAAAATTAATTCAACCTTAATACTTTAGGGTATAAAAATTACAAAATTTTTGACTTTGTTTGAATTTTAATAAATATTTACTAAATTTTCGGATATTGTAAGTCATGTGCTGGAAAGATCAAGTGATGCTGTGCAAAGTTTGAGACAAAGTTGGTTTACGATTTTTTTTTTTTTTTTGTCCCCCTTTAGTCAGTTTAATCGGGAATTAACTCTAGTTATTTTTTAGTTGTTATTGATCATATAAAAAGAAATCCTGAAAATTATTCGGATGTATTTTTGGGAAGACCAAGAGAAGAATATTGCTCTTGGATTTCACAAAAAAATAGTTGGGGAGGTGCAATTGGTATGAATTATTTGATGCTATTTAGAAAATATCATTGTAATATAATGGTTTTAATTCTTCAAATTCTTTATTAGAACTTTCTATTTTTGCAAATCACTACAAAGCTGGTAAAATTATTTTATTTAACATTGTTTGACATTGTATTTAAGGATATTAATTTATTTGTTTTTTTTTTTTAATAAGAAATTCGTAGTGTTGATGTAGGGAGTGGAAGGATCGATCGATATGGTGAGTTATTTGATTTAACATGTAATTTTAATGATGATTGAAGTAGTTATTTGATTTTTGTTTTTGTTTTCTGCACAGGTCAAGGGCAATATGATCAATGCGTATTTGTTATTTACAGGTTCGTAAATATTTTTTTAAATGAATATGTAAATGAATCTCCTCTAACTTTGATTTATATATATATTTATATTTTTTTTAGTGGCATTCGTAAGTAATTTTTAATTCGCTTCTTAACTTATTTATTGTCTCATTGAGTTCTTTGTGAATTGATTAGATTATGATGCTATTGCTTTAACTCCAATACTCGATGCAAGTCAAGAATATGATCAAACGATTTTTAGTACAACAGATGATGTAATTCTAAAAGCATCATTAGGTGTTGCTGGTAAAATGAAACAAGTAATTATTAATTTCTTTTTTTTTAGAAATCTTTTTCTAATAACTTAATAACCAATTTTCTTTATTTAGTTACACAAGTATACATATACATCTGAATTTACCTTAAGATGTGGTCAATGTAAACAAGGATTAAAAGGAGATCAAGAAGCTATACAACATGCTAAGCTAACAGGTCAGTTTATATTATTATATGTAACTTTTTTAAAAAAAATATATATATATATATATTTCTCATTTATTAAAATTAGTTTTATAAAATAATCAGGTCATAAAGAATTTGTTGAATATACAAAATAGGTAAATGTTTAATAGGTTAATAAATAGATAAATATATCTTTTTTCGGTTTAATGATAATTAAATTTTTTTACTTAAATGCAAAATGCTAAAAATTATTATAATGTAATTTTAATGAAATTATTTAAATTAGATTCAGTTTAAGTTTGCTAAATTGTTTGATTTTAGTAAATAATTTTGATTTTTTAATAATTTTAATAATTTTTTTAAAACAATTTAAATATCAATTTATATAATAATTTTAATTAATTTAAAATAAAATAAGTAAATTATATTTTACATTTAATAGAATTATTTATCAGATAATTTTTTGTGCATAATAATTTATATTATTATTTTAGAAAAATAAATTTTTTTCATAAATTAAAAAGAAGGTAATTTCTAATTGTACATGAGATTTATCATTGATATTATTGATATTGTTTTTGTATTGTGTCTAAACATTATGTAAAATATACATGTAAAGTGGTAACAAATAATATTTTTAGTAAAATAAATTTTATAAGTTCTTAGATTAATTAGTAAAAATGAAACATATTAAATTGTAATACAAGTAATAAATAGTAATCTATATTAACATTTTACTAATCCTAAACTAAAAATAATAAGTTTATATATATTATATGATCCATATTTATACACTTTGAGTTTACTAAGAAATTTTTTAAAAAGAAATATAATTTATATAAATTTTTTAAAATAAAAAATTAATATAATAATTTAATCATTAATTAATAATTTTAAGTATCAAATTGAATAAAATATAATTAAATATATTTTAAATTAATTATATAATAAAAAATTAAGTTTAATTTATTAAACAATTATCTAACATTAATATATTAATTAATATTTTAATATAATAAAATATTTATAAATAATATAAAATTTTAATTAATATTACTTAAAATTAATTATATATTAATTAATTATAAATATATATTATTTAAAATTAAGCATATAATATTTTAAATAATAAGTATATTTATATATAATTTTAAAAAGATAATTTTTTAATAATTTTAAACAAATTCTTAAAATCTGATTTTTTTAAAATTTATTTAAATAATTTATTTTATTTTATAAGTTTAAAATTCTTAATATATTAAAATTTAAATAATAAAACTAAAATTATAATATTTTAATTTAGATTATTTAATATTATAAAAATAATTTAAAAAATTATAATATAATAAAATAATAAATAATTATTTAATAATTTTTAAAATTTAGATTAAATCAAAATATTAAATAATTAATAGTTTTTAATATAATGGATATTAAAAAAAATACAAGTATAATTGATTATTTTTGAAAGGTTATAACCCATCAACTATAAATACTAAAATTATGATTTTATATTTATTTTAAAGTTAAATCTTTTATATTAAGTTAATAATACCAATTTATGTAATTTAATAATTTACAAAAAGTGATCATAGGTTTCTAGATAATAAATATTTTGTTTTTATTTGCTTTATAAATATTATTTTATGCATATATTTCTAATTTAAATATTTTTGATCATAATAATAATGATAATTTTCAATAAATTTTTTTTAAACAAATATAAAATAGATAAAAAAGATTTAATATTTGAATAATATAAAATAATTTTTTATAGTTATAAATAAGGTAATTTATATCAGAAAATTACAGATAATATCTAATATTTTAAGATAATTATCTATAATGCAATAAATATTTTAAAATAGAATCTGCAATACTAAAAAATATTGTAATTTAAAATTACTTTTTGATTCTAATATATAAATTTTTACTCAAAAACAAAATATTATCATTTTATCATTTATAAAATACAGAAATTATGAACAAATTATAATTTATTGAACTATTAAAAAAGTTTATTTATATTTATGTGTTATCTACTTTAAATTATTAATTTTTAAAGATAATAAATAAATTAGCTTAGACTTTAGAATAAAAATATTAGATAATTGTAAAGTAAAAGAAAATTGTATAGTTTAATGAGTTAATATTTAATCAATTTTCACAAAGTTATAATTAATGTGTGTGATGTATATCAGAAAAAGAATTTGATCATTCTTATTTAACTATTATAGTAAAGTATAATTCCAGTCAAATATTTTGAAATACTTTTTATAATATAAGATAGAATCACTTATTATTCTTTATGAATCTATAATAGGATAAACATATGTAAAAATATTATAAAAATATGCTATTTTTTTTTGCTTATAAATTAGTTTCTCATAAACAAGAAATTTTCCATAAGAATAATACTTCATCTTATTAATTAAAGATTATTTAGAAGATTTGAAGTATAAGGTATATATTTCAATTAATTTTTATTACTTAAAAAG